AAGAAAAAAGATGACATGGTGAAGGTTGTTTCAGGATACAATACAAGTTCCTCTTAAGTTTGTGACCTTAAACACCTTGCTGTTTAAGAGAATGAGAATGACCGCAATTTGACATAAAATTCCATTGAGAAGAGTAGGTGGTAAGGCAGCTGAAAATTAAAAGTTCAGATTTGGGTCAAAATTATTGATTTTGAGATGTGGGCATTTTTGTTTTCTTTAGCCTCTCTTACAGCTATTTAATTGCATAAGAATAAGAACCCTCTAAACCCTTATTTTGACACATATATCAAGCATTTCAGTCACCACAATCCTCCTGAAGTCCCTCTTGTTTTTCCTTTACCATCAGTTTTCTCAAATCTGTATTTTGTTTCTTCCAACTCAATCATTTTCAGTGTAACCGATCTCCGTTGTACAATCAGAATAAACCTCACAGGAGCAACAGATACCACCTTATCTGAATGTGAACTAATTTCAGGAAGACTGGAAACTGGAATTGACAATTCCCATCAAGTGTTCTCTAGGCTGCTGTCATTTAACCTTCGCTGGTGGTCATTGGTCGAAAACGACCCAGGGGGTCCAAAAATTGCTGTAACTAGTCAGCCAAACATGCCACTGACATTAGCTCCTAATGTAGTCTAAATATATCATGTCTTTCAGCATATTCTATTACCGATATTTCAGTGGTTTCAGAATTTTACAGTTTGTAAACATTTCAAACTTTCTATCCCCTCAAAGTATATTGTGGGTCTTCTTTGACCGATACGTAATATAGGAAAATACTTCGTTGGTCGATTAAGACTCATTATAAAGTAATGCATAGAAAAATATGCCGAGCGTTGTTTCCAATGTGCGTGTATGAGGGTGCTTGTGCATGCGGGTGTGTGTGTGTGCGTTCTGTGACAAGGTGAAGGTGTGTGCGTGTGTAGAGATGCATTGGTGTGAATGTGTGTGTGTGTTCCGTGACAAGGTGTGTGTGTGTGTGTGTGTGTGTGTGTAGGGATGCATTAAATTGGTGTGAACGTGTGTGTGTGTTGTGACAAGGTGTGTGTGTGTGTGTAGGGATGCATTGATGTGAATACATGTGAGTGTGCGCGCGCGCTCGTATGTGTGTGTGTGTGTGTGTGTGTGTGAGAGAGAGAGAGAGAGAGAGGGAGAGAAAGAGAGGGAGAGAGAGAGAGAGAGAGAGAGAGAGAGAGAGAGAGAGAGAGAGAGAGAGAGAGAGAAAGAGAGAGAGAGAGAGAGAGAGAGAGAGAGTGAGAGAGTGTGTTAATGTGCATACAGGAACCTTGTATACATGGCATGTGGCTGTTGGTGTGTACCCATGTAACTGTTCAGGAATCAATATAAACCGATTGTATCTGTGACAATCACTTGATGTGCAGAAATTTCTTTTCTTACAATAAATCTGTTCCAATCTTATCACTTAATATAACTAAAAACAAACAAACAACAAAAAACAATGTCACCACCAGCGATGATTGTATACTTTCTCACTCTCTCTCTCACACACACACACACACATCTTACTTAACAGACTGTGCTAATCCCTATGACTTGATCCCAACAGCACATACAATACAACCACTCACTAAGAAACACGTTTTGATAATAACAAGCAAGCATATTTTTCTCTTCATGTAGATTTTTTTTTTATAGTAAGCGTTTTACGGCACACAAACAGCATAAGGTCATATTTAAGATCTAGTCTCTTGAGTCTAGGCCTATGCTGACAATGCTGTTAAATGTAGAATGACGCATCTTCCTGATTGGCTGTTAATTTTAGTAATGTATTGTCATCACTTCCTGGGATACCCACAGACCATTATAAGAAGGCCGTGGAGGTACCGCGTGGAATGACGAGTTTGCGGTGTATGTTAATAACATTTAATAATTCCTAGCACTTGGACATGATAGAAGATCGCTTTGATAGAATCTAGATTCTAGATCATTGATGCTCAGAACCGTACTTAAGATTAAGAACGCTGAATCTTGAAATTGAAACACGGTAAACGCAAAGACAATAAACCGCACGAAAACTGCCGTAAAGGCGCAGGAGGATTAGATCTACCGAATACCAGTCATTTCCTCACACCGGTGCAGTCAAGACGTCACAGTCATCTCGTAACATCCCAAACACACAAGGCTGAATCGAGACTGTCATTTCTTAGCTGACAACAAAGTTTTTAGGTAGGGAGTGTATACAGACCCGGTAATCGGGAACAAAGTCACGAAGTATACAGACCTGGTAGGGGGAATCTTTTGCGATTTCAGAAAGTTTCAGCGCCCTCTTGGCTCAGGGTAGACCTAGGTTCTTCTTGATCTATGGCCTAGGTCTAGATCTAGACAGTAGACAGACTGTCATAAATCATAGATCTAGTTTCGATGCCTAGATCTAAATGAAGATTGCGAATGTCTTTTCGATGAACCATCGTTTTTCCTCCGTTTTGGAGTTGGTTTTCTCTCTCTCTCTCTCACTCACACACACATACACAACATACTATACCGGGTCTGGGCGCTGAAACTTTCCGAAATCACAAAAGATTTCCCTTACCGGGTCTGTATACTTCGTGACTTCGTTCCCGGTTATTGGGTCTGTATACAATTCGTTTTAGGTATTACTATTGATGAAAGGTGTGATTGGCAAGATCATATTATCTCTACCCCCCTCCCCTCCTGCATGCTTCATAACTAATATCAGGGCTCCCCTTTTCAGGCCAACTTAAGAGGTTTCTTCACCTTTTGGTTTACTATCTTATTTAAACCCTTGTTTTAGAAACTTAAAGGGTAAAAGTCAATATCTCATAATTTTATAGTAAGATTTTTTGCTTGTAAACATTTAGTATAGTATGGGGTTTTAGGGCGCTCGCAACTGCATAAGGTTATTTGTAAACATGTAACTCACACGCACATTCACACTGACACACACAGAGTGACCATGACTATGATTGAATGCTAATGATTTTTAATTAACTTTAAAAAATAAAATAAAAAATAAGTTGGACTGCCAAATCAATACTACTTCCATTATAGTTGAAATAACACGTGTGAGCAAAGATCCAACACAACTGTTGGTGAGTCAACTACTAAATTCAACATAGACATTTAGGAAAATAGTGCTCCGAGTTTCTGCTGACATAAAGTTTAACGAGTGCTTCCCACAACAGAAAAGAAGGCAGAGTAAGATTTTAGAAAAATCCGGCGCAACAGACGGAACAACAAAAAACAATAAAAAAAAAAATCCAGGTACGCGCTGTCAAAATCGGGAAAATCTGGACTTGAGATTTAGGACAGGGATGAGAGGCAGGTATGGAAAATAAACTGATTCATTATTCTTCAACGCCATCCCAGGGTTCACATTCCAGTCTTTCCACACTTTCCATGGCGGACAATTCATGTTTACTAGCGTGGTAAAGAAGGATGGTGGTAATCTCATGGCAGGGGTAAACTCAAGGCACAACTCCGGCAAATGTGAGCGACCGACCAGAATGTGGGCGGAGCTTCTGTGCTGAAGCCAGCCGATAAGTAGGTCGACTAGTCGACTTTTTCTGAGACAGAAGGTGACTGTCGTGCCATGTGTGTGGGTGTGTTGTCAAATTATTGACCCAGCTTCGGGATAAAGAAGGGGGAAAATGATGCTTGCCAGATGAAGACCACCTACGTTTTAAAGCGTGAATGCAAACTCCCGAAATGAAATTATAAAGAGTACTTTAAGGGGGTAATTTGCAGGTTTAATGTGTAATATATGCACATGTGCGTAAAGGGGAGCCCTGTAATATACATTAAAAAACCTACAAAGCAACAAAGTATGTCAAATTATAATTTATGGGACAAACTGTTGGTCAGTCGGGAGGAGAAGAAAAAAACAAACAAACAAAAAAACAACCCTTACGGAACCGGGATTCGATCCCAGGCTCATAAAATAAAGCACATGACTTCAAACACAGACACGCTGTCAATTCGGCCATCAGAACTTCCAACAGTCAGTAGAGGTAGATTTAAGCTTCATTTCATACACATACTTCCATCCTTGGTGCTATGCGATTGGCTATATTTAGATGTAGTCACGTGATCGGAGGGGTATCTTGGCCTGATGTTAAACAAGATGGCCGCCTTACCTAAAAATAGTTTACGTCGTTCTACGTTTATCTAATTGCATGTTATGCTGACTTTTACCTCTGTAATTGTAATGAGCGTTCCTTTAACTTCAACTCATACTCATGGCATCGGATGGAACGTTTGAAGCAGGCCGAACTATTATTATTATTTTACGTAAAAAAAAAAAAAAAAAATCTAGAATCTAGAGTCGGGGCATGTATGCGCTACCCCCTAAGCGCCTTTTCGTGAATAACATCCGGTGACACAGCTGGATTTTAATATTTTTTTCACTAGAGAGTAGCCCTGCTCTTAGCGCATGCACTGCTTTTCTGACCTTTTAGCATGTAGTTTCTATATAATATGATGTGTTTCTAGGTCAGTTTGGGAATTCCCATGCGCTAGGAAGAATGTCAATACATCAATACGGGGATGTCCATGCAACAATGGAATGTCATGCGCTAGTCATGTGGAATGCTTATGCGCCATGGCTTGTAAGACGTCAGTGTGTACAGCTTCAATCTCTCTTTTTTTGGTGAGTTTTAGATTAGGAAGGGTGTTACATTCTTGTGGACAAATCAAATAAAATGCAAAAACTTAAAAGGGGTGTTCTGGTCTAATCTAACGAAGATCTTTACGTTACCCGGGTAACATCCATGCTGTTCGAGTTCGAGGAAAAAGTGTAGTAGGCCCTACAGTGTATGCACTTTGGACTGTTGAGTCTACAAAGTCATGTACACCCTACCTTAGGTGTTGCAGTTCATGTTTTGATATAATTCTTGAGGTTTGCTTGATATAAATCTATCATGTAGGCCTATCCACTTCCTTGTGGTTGATCAAAATATTCAAACGACAACAAAGATCAGACAAGAGAAAAAACATAGAAAATAGAAAAAACACCAACTCTATTTTGGTTTTTTAAGTTAAAACAATAATGTCTTACTCTTACATTTTTAATTACATTTACACAAACGCTGAAAAAAAATCAAAGCATTCACTCTATGTCTTCATTAAGTTGGTAGGAACTTAGTTGGTAGCCTGTGACTGGGTCACCATCAACTTCTTCAACCTCCTCTCTTCAGCCTTCCTTTTCCTTTCTGCCTCTTTCTCTTCTTTCGTCTGCTGTCGCATCCGTTTGTTCTCTTCCACTCTCTTTTTCTTCTCCTCTGCTTCTTGTATCTTCCTCTTCCTGTTCTCCTCTCTTTCAGCTTTTCTTGCTTCCTTTGCCAACTCCAGTTCTTCTCTTTCTCTTTCTTTCTGTAGCAGTTGCTCTCGAAATTTTGTGCCGCTTAATGCCATTGGAAGAGCTTTCGGAGGATTTTTTAGACCACTTTTGTTCCTGGGGAATTGGGGCAGGGACAAGATGATGTCAATGCTACGGACAATGGTGCTGCCTGCTGCTGGTTTTGCTAGTAGTGCTTGCGTCGCTGGTGGTGCTAGTGCTTGCGTTGCTAGTGCTTGTGTCGCTGGTGGAGCTGGTGCTTGCGTCGCTGGTGGTGCTAGTGCTTGCGTTGCTAGTGCTTGCGTCGCTGGTGGAGCTGGTGCTTGCGTCGCTGGTGGAGCTGATAGTGCTGATGTACTGAAGCCAACACCACATAAAAGCTCCTTGAGCTCCTCCTCGGCAATCCCGCCGGCTCCGGTGCCGAGTGTACTCCACAATGAGTCAATCCTTTGTGGACCAACGAACGCAGCAAAGTCAAGCAGCCGTTTCATGTTTACTGCTGAAGCTGGTGACAGTTCAACTGGTGATGGTGAAGATGATGCTCCCGTTGGTGCTGCTGCTGGTGGTGATGCTGTTGCTGCTGCCCGGAGTGCTGTTATTGCCACTGGTGGTGTTGCTGTTGCTGCTGCCCGGGGTGCTGTTACTGCCACTGGTGGTGGTGCTGTTGCTGCTGCCCGGGGTGCTGGAGCAAAAGTGCGGCTTTGTGCCAGTTTGTCGGAGTGCACCACCCTTTCAGGGTTGTGTGGGTAAATCCCACTCTTGGCAAAGCCATTGAAGGCAACCTCAGGTCTCGTGGTGGCGTCCCAGACAGGTTTCAGTGCTGCTGTGAAGGTCCTGACACTTACACTCTCTCCTGTTTCATTCATGATCTTTTCGCACTGTTCCTCTCAAGCCTGCTTCATGGCCCCAAACAGAGATTGGTCCAAGGGCTGGATAATGTGTGAGGCGTGGCTCTTTAGGCAGTAAAGCAGTATCTGCTCCTTGATGCACAGATCGACCACCTCAATGTTGGAAGTGTGCGAGGTGTGGCCGTTGACAAATAGCACAACCGGTTTCTTCTTGTGAGCGACAGCTGGTACAAAGCAGTCCCTGAGCCAGGACATAAACACGTCTGTGTTTATCCATCCATTGGGTGAAATCTGAAACTTTGCCTCTGGGAAGCTAGCCATGAGATCAAATGCAGGTCTTCTCTTGTAGGGGAAGATGATAAATGGCATGATGTAGTGGCCGTTGGCAGAGCAACACGCAAGTACAGTGATGCTCTGCTTGGTGTTGCTGGACAGGTTATAGACATGCTTACTCCCTTTTACTGCTACCACTTTTTGGGGCTTGGGGCACAGATGGAAGCCCGTCTCATCAGCATTGTACAGCCGATCCGGTGATGTGATGAGAGTTGGATCCACGCTGTCCAAATACTCCATGTCTCGAAACCAGGCAGCCAGTCCCTCCGGCGTTACCAGGGCTCGCTCCTTCCCTAGAGCTGATGGCGTCCTGCTGGAAAGGTCTGGGTTTCTTTTAAAGAAGTCTTTCAACCACTGTTTGCTCGGACGGTTGTCAGGGCTACTTGTGACAGCCTGGCGTGAATCCAGAATAGCCTTGACAGTGTCCTTGATTTCCTGCTTCGACTTTCCGAAACCTCTCCTGGCACACTCCTTGAGCTTAAGTTCCTCTTCCCTAATGAGTAGGGTGTATGTGGCTGGGGGTTAACAGGCCGTCTGCCTCGCACCTTGTCCCCGAGTGTAGCATATGGAATGCCGAAAGCCTTGCTTGCTCCATTTAGGGTCATGGACCCATCTTTGACGGCTTGTATGGCCACCAGCAATGTCGCTTTTGTATAGAGGGATGTCGAGGTACTGGTGCCATGATGTTGAATAAACTGGAGAAAACAAATCGAAGGTATCCATTAGAGAGCAGAAAAAAAAATTCTTCCTGTAAATGAACGTGGAAGTAGAGTTATTTAGATAGCTTATAAAGTTGTCGGTTTGACAGTTGAGACGTCAGGGGCACGGTAAGGATGTATGTGTGTGTGTGTGTGTGTGTGTGTTTGGCGTGTATCAGTGTGCACATGTGTGCGTGTAATGTGTGTGTGTGCATGTTTGTGTGCCTGCGTGAATATTGTTTATACATTTATGTAAAGCGCATAGAGCTGTGTTCACATGGAAGTGGACGCTACAGAAAGGATCTTCATTATTATTATTATGTATCCAGAAAGATAATAAACAAAGCAGGTCTCCTCTTAAAAAGGGGAAAGATGATAAACGAAGGGTAAATCTATAGATCTAACTCAGAAAGGCTTAAAAGTCTAAATTACAGTTGAAAAAGTAACAGAATAAGATTATAAGTTGTCAGATGCGTAGTCTAGTAATTTACTAGTCTTTTAAATGGTAAGAAGCAATCTAGTCTAGTTAGCGCATAAGAATCCTAATTTAAAACAGGTCATATCCATCCGCTAAGTCCTAGTGCATAACATCCAAATTCAGGTCACGGGAATATTCATGCGCTATCCTCGTGATCAACCAAAAGGGAGCTAACCTCGGCCTGAAATTATAATTAGACATGAGATCATCCCTATTTTTACCTATTTAGGCCACGCTATATCTTGTGGGAGAATATTGTTGAATGCAAAAGCTTGCTATCATGACCCTGTTGCTTAGCGATCGGAGTGTCTATATGTACACGGTAACTGGGCACGTAGCCTCAGGGTCTACGTACACGGTAACCGGGCGCGTAGCCTCAGTGTCTACGGACACGGTAACCGGGCGTGTAGTCTCAATGTCACACACACACGGTAACCGGGCGCATAGCCTCAATATCTACGTACACGGTAACCGGGCGCGTAGCCTCAATATCTACGTACGTGGTAACCGGCAACCGGGCGCCTCTCATTCATTATCTACGAACACGGTAACCGGGTATTTTGTTTCGGGGGGGGGGGTGCTCGAGCTAGGTGCACAGTAACTGCTTCGCTCCCTTCACCTTTTTTCTTTTTCACTCGGCTTTTTGTGTGTTGTGAGCGGAATGTAATCCCAAAAATGATCCCAATCTACTCCCTGTCATCTTACCTAAGGGACAGCAAAATGCAGTGACACTGAAAATCTTACTTAGTAGAGAGCTGTAGTAGTAATCAAAATTCTAAGCATTAAACATATTATGCTTCCAGTTTCAGGTTGTTTTTTTTTGTCTTCTGGTGTTGCTTCCACCCCCCCCCCCCCCCCCCCCCCCCCATCCCCGAGAGCGTCTCTAAAAAAAATCAATAATCTCCCCCCATTCCTGAGTCCTGTACTTCGAAGCGCTCAGAACACGCGCAGGTTCATTGACCGGTCACAATGGCAAGCCCGACAAGACGCTTCTATAACTTTCTTTTCTTTATGTTGCCCCCCTGACAGTGACAAATATTGATTTATTTTCATGGCGACACCACGTTTGTAATGCAGAACCTTCATGTTACAATAATTGTTGCGTTATCAGACAATAATTACTGACAAATTTGTAGGTGGTAACGAAAGCGAAATTAAAGGCTTACTGGACGCTCTATTGTGAAATTCAGTGGGTATCATGCTGGACTATAGAGCGGCTGACCCTAGTGCGTCCTCTTCGAAAAAGCGCAAACTTTGCGAACAGAGTTACCCTACTTGTGTGAAAAACAATAAAAGTGACACTCTTTTTGGCTAAGTAAACTATCTCTTGGACCCTCCGGTTACCGTGTACGCAGATACTGAGACTACGTGCCCGGCTACCGTGTACGTAGACCCTGAGGCTACACGCCCGGTTACCGTGTACGTAGACACTCCGTGTAGCGATATTGTAAAAAAGTAGGATGAAACAATTCTTACCTCGATTTTCCGGGACAGTGTCAACAACGAAAGTGAAAGCGCCTGTGCAAAGGGCTGGAAACGACCGGATGTTGTGATGAACGAAAATTCGAAATTGAAACGGGCGATAGACTCTACTAGATCTAGATCTAGATCTCTAGACTCTAGATTCTAGATCTAGATCTAGATCTAGATATATCTAGATTAGATATCTAGATTCTAGATATTAGTAACCGAAAAATGAAAGCTTGGCGCATGGGTACGGTATGCGCATGGACAGTCCTCTACTCTAGATTTAATAGATTTAGATCTAAAAACGTAGGCCTAGCTTTTTTTTGAGAACGTCTAGTCTAGAACCAAACATCTCAGTCGATGCCGGGGGGGTTGAGAATAGCGGATCATGATGAGCTAAATCTAGACTAGACTAGACTAGGACTAGGAGGACTCCAGCGCTGGCCTTTAACTTTAACTAAATAAACCCACCTTTAGCCAAGAATCGCTCTTCGTGCAGAATGCACACAGCATTCAAACATAAAATTGCAGCTTCTATTAAAGTATATAGACCAAAGGCCATATTGGCAGCGTAAGCCTACTACACAACAAAAAATACAGCATCCGAGCAGCCCACACTGGCTGGCTTCGTGCAAAACAGGCTGACGTATCACAACCGGAAACAACTAGGAGGCGTCAACAAAACTTGAGCTAAAGTTCCGTTAACGATCATCATCATCCAGTGCCTGATCTGCGACAGACACTGGCGATCATGGTTCTCCATTCGATCCTTTGCTCGGACGCTCTCAAAAAAGCTGTTTCCCTGATCTTTCCCTGTTACCCATTTGTCTAGGTTCCCTAAGTATATTGTACTGGGCCTACCCCTGCCTCGCTTGCCCTCAATTTTGCCAGTGAGAGCTTGGTGTTCAAGACCCTTATGTCTATTTATGTGTCCCCAAAACTGCATTTGTCGTTTCCTGATTGTTTTTCACATTTCTAACGATAAGGGACACAAATACATGTACATGTGCATGTGCCAGCATTGTGTGACATTCTCCTCTTCTCTCTCTCTCTCTCTCTCTCTCTCTCTCTCTCTCTCCTCTCTCTGTCTCTCTGTCTCTCTGTCTCTCTCCCTCTCTCTCGATCTCTTCCCCCTCTCTCTCTTTACAGTTCCCTCCAAAAACAAAACCCATTTTAAGATATTTAATAACAGTCATGTGTAATAGAAATTGACAGCGACACCTAATTTGACGACAGAATTTCGATTCTCTGTTGTGGTGTTTTTGCAAGGAAATCAAATATCACCACCCTTATAATTTGTGTTGAGTTAATGTGTCCTGTCAGCTTAATTTTTCAGAAGAGTCTATTTTCTGTTTTGTGTTGCTATCAAAATTTTCAGTAAAGTTCAACAGCACTTGAATATCAATCTCCTTGGGGTTTTAATGTCATTCTCTTCTCTGAGAAAATTTAATATAATCTACCTGTACCTGTGCCAAAAAGTATTCCCAAAGAAACCTTTGGTAAAATTAATACGCCTTTCTGCCCACCTCCAGACACTTCTAGCTTATGCATACTATAGGTGTCTAACCACAGTTATATATTATACTATTGCATGACAATGTACAATTTATAAGACCTTTAGCTTAATTAACTCACCCTATAAAAATATTATTTTTGTTGTGCGTCAAATAAACGTTACCCGTGAACATAAATATTTTACGGAATGGTAGGTACCAATTTTTCCCGCAAGCGCAGTAATTACTTCCGGTGGCTATTGTTCTTCCGTGGTAGAAACAACAGAACAACAGAGAAGAGAAAAACACTGCTAGGTCGACTTATTTCCTCTATGTATTGTATCTGTGTAAAGATTGTGCATTCCCAATTCATTGGTAGGGCTGATTCCTGGTTTTGCAGCTGATTTTAAGATTTGCTGAGGCTGTGTCCAGGTAGTTAGGTAAGTTGTGTGTCATGATATGGATTCTTCTAGATTTCCAGGAATTTAATTTAGAAGTTAAAATAGAAGGCAGAATCAGAAGAAAGTTGGCGGTTGGCCCATAGAGAAACATTGAAGTCAAGTGCTTATAGATATAGAATCTAGATCTAGATCTAGTCTAGATCTACAGTCAAACCTGTGTGAGACAGCCACCCATTTTCAAGGACAAAGTGGCCCTATAAGACAGGTGCCCGTCTTAGGCAGTAAGGGTTGATCAAAATGAAGAAAACAAACCATGTCCATTCCCTCCTGCTGAGGGCGGGGTGAGAATATCTAGATCTAGAGATCTAGATCTAGATCTATAACCAATGTCTCGCTATTCTCACCCCCCGCCCCCTCCGGTGAGAATAGCTCCCACCCCGGTGTGGGCATGAGGTGAGGACTCCCCCCCCCCTCCCCCTGACCTCTTGCAGGCCGATAAAATCACCTAGCCTAGGCCTTTGGTGGCTTACCGCATGTGGTTGGGAATGAAAAATAATAGGTAAAAACATTTTTCACCTCTCCAGTAAAAAAAAAAAGGCTCACTACACACGCTACTGCGTTGGATGTGGGACAGGCCACAAAGTGACTATTCGGACTCGAATCCGATAAGACAAAAATTTTAATTATTTCAGACTCTGAGTCCAGCATGACGTCTGCTCCAATTTCTGACCCTTGTTCAAATATAATTTCCAGCATTTTTATGAAAATTGTTTTGATTATAATGATAACAATCGAGACATGAATTTTAATATCCAATTAGCCTGATCTTAACAGGCCCTCCCTTCATCAAAAGTATGAACAGATTATAACCAAGTTGAGTTGACATTTCTGGGGGTAAAGTTAATAATGTCAACCAATGAGACTGCATCATGTAGCAATCACGCACTCTCGCTTTGCTGTGGGAAGAGGTGTTGGGAGGAGGCCACAGCTGTCCGCTTTGTGCGATGTGATAAAATTAAATTAATTACTGAAACATTAGTCTATAACACACAAACAACAAAATAAAATTAAACAGGGAAAAACATATGGTGGTGGAAGTAATGATGATGCTGTAGTGGTGGTGGAAAGACTCTGAGTTGTCAGTTACCGTGTATTTAGACTCTGCCACTAGGCGGATTTCACGGTAAGGGTGTGAGAGACAACACAGGGTTTGTTTTACTGTTTTGTGTTCAATTTGTGTTGTTTTGATTGTTTATGGGTCCAATAAACACGTGAAACAAGTGTTGACTTTGTGTGATATTTTCCGTAACAAGTGACGTTTGGATTTAGATGTTCGTGAGTCAGACAATTTTCGTTTTAAATGGCATATTATGCTAGATTTTCTCAAAAAATGGCTAACAGAACACCTAAGAAGTATGTTTTTTCTTATGTGATAAAAGTGAAAAAAAGGAAATCTAGCATCGCTTTGAAGCAGCAACAGACAGAGCGAAACAGTGGTCGTAAATCGTGGGACTAAGTCCGACATTTTGACTCTATGTGAAGTGCCAAATTTTTTTCCTAAAAAAGCGAAATGAGTGTAAGTTTTTATGCTCAGACTACGCGATACTCATTTCTACATAGGTTTTAGCCGTAATTTGCGAAAATTGAAGAAATTATTAGTAGATTCGAGAGTTGTTTGTGATGCACCCCTCCCCCTGAGTCGGCGACAATATTTTGAGTCACTTAAAAAAAAAATAATCTAGGGCTTGTCAGGGGGCATGCCCTCCTAACCTCGAAAAATATTGGGGGAGGGGGGGGGGTTCAGGAGGGGCTTAACCGTCTGTATTTACCCATAATTTGATTTTCGGCAGACAGGGTTGAGGTTTTCTTCAAAACAATTGATTTATGACATTTTAGTGGTCATATTTAATATGTGTTCTGCCGCCAAAAAATACAGGTGTTTTAACCCTAAAAAATAATGGGTCTGAGTGAAAAACAATATCTTGACAGCATATTGTTGAGTCTTTGCTGTGGATTCTCTGACTGTTGAGTGATAGTTGTTGTATTTTAAGTATAAACAATGTCAGTTAAATAAAAAATAGATTTGAATGGTACATTTTTGTTATTTCACACTTGCAGCTGCATTACTATTTTGGGCCAAACCTGTATTTTTGGCTGCTGAACACCACTGATGACATGGGCCTCTTAAAATTATTGCACATCCGTAATCTTCTCCTGGCTCTTTCTGCGGCCTTTCTACTGCCACTCCTTGACTCCTTCTTACTGCTGTCTTTCAGCCACACCTCTGATCTTCTGGTAGGAAAGATCTACACACCTAGCCTTCTCGGACAAGGGTGAAAAATGTAGGAGGTCCCGTGCACACAATAAAGATCCCTTGGTGGTCCAAAATCGATGAGTAGGCTTCTGCCGACACCCGATCAAGTCCTGGGCACTCACATGGCCTTATGCAGTTGTGAGCGCCGTAAAACACTTACCAAAAAAAATAGGTAGTGCGCCCTACTCTTTTTGTAAACTTTGTTTCAGGAAGCTGTTCTCTTGAGAGCTGGACACTGTTATTCAAGTATACTCAATGGGTGTAAATGTAAAACATCTTGAAGAATTTGGACAATCGCCATTAACAGCTGAAGTAGGTGGAGGAGTGGATCAGTATCCCCAGTTATTGAAGAATACGTCTGTCTTCCTTGGTATCTGGATCCATAACTTTCCTTATAAGAAGATGATTAAAGAGTGTTCTTGGTGTGTCTCAAATATGAGGATGGCAATGTTACTTTTGAAAGTTTTAGATCTTGTATGCCCTGCCCCCACCTATACAATTCAGATCACATAGGAGACAATCTGCCTCATCCATGCCTGTCTGGGACGACTGGCACTGAGGGTGATACCACATCTCAGCAGACGGATGGGGAGATACTCAATAAGAATTGTCCCCTTTCAAGAATAAAACTAGTATCTTCTATGTGTGATGACGAAATGCTGGATACGGATCTACCATCAAATATCGAAACAACCTTGGAGAGAAGAAACAGACCCAACTATTTGGCCCATGTGGAACATACAGCTCTAACTATGACGCAGAGAGAATTGCCATAATAAAGACCTTGGAACAGATCCCCCAAGACTCTTTTGAAGGCGCAATAACACCAGGGGATGTTGTTGTCTTCTCGGACTCAATGTCAGTACTCCAAGCCGTGGAAAGAGGAGGAGACTACAGAGGTGACGGGAACATCCTCAGCCTTGTAAAACAGATGGGCACTTCCTATGGCGTCCGGGTCACACTGCAGTGGGTGCCTGGCCATTCTGGAGTACCAGGGAATGAGACTGCAGACCATCTATCGAAGACTGGAGCGAGCCTGCCCCAGACAGACACAACCGCCTCTTTACAGGCCTGCAGAGGGATCATCCAAGCCAAAAGCAGAGACGAGTGGCTAAACAGATGGGCCAATGCAGAAACAGGAAGATCTCTCTTCGGGTACATGGACAAACCCAACCCCAACCCCAAAGACCCTTCGAATCTTTTATGTAGAGCCGATCAGACATTGATCTTCAGAGCCCGCACAGGACACTTACACACCAACAAGCACATAAACAGAATCAACCCCATGTGGGAACCCCATTGCAGACACTGTGACTACCACGAGGAGACCGTTGAACATCTTCTCCTTCACTGCCCAAACCTGGCAGTTCTTCAACGCAAGCTCCTACACACACCTACAGACTTACAAAGCCTGCTCTACTCTGGCGTTGACCAGATGACAAGGACATGTGGTTACTTGAGGGAGGCATTGCGCTGCCAAGAGCGAAATGCTCGCTGCTAAAGGGATTTGAAAACAACAACAACATGTGTGATGACAAAGTTCATTATAAACTGCTACACCACAAATACCAGTGGATAATTATTAAGGGGCCCATGCTTCCCTTTTTAAAAATGGCAGTATATCTGTGGTAAAAGCTGTTTTATTGTTCAATATATACTGTCACCCTTAAGTCAGTTCATAAGAGAAGATTAAAAAAACAACAACAGAAGATATGTACCTAGATTAACTAGATATGTACCATCTTAACATTTTCCTGGTCTTATATCTCCTGTTTTCTGCAGATCTATTTCCAAGGGGAATGAAAGTGGACCAATATCAAACACATTTCATTGTTGAGGCTGTTTATCAGAAAGTGTAAATTCTCTGCAAGAAGTGCTGCTGGAGATTGAAGGTAACTGAACTGTTGTTCCTGAGATTAGTTAAGGTCAAGGTAATGTTCATAGATTCTTATTGATTTCAGTTTGAGAACACTAATATAAGCAAGGTGAATATGATTTAATTATATTTTCTTAAAATGTGAAAGTCTTTGCATTGAGGGGACCATGTGCAATCATGCTGATCGAGACTCCAGTGATTAATGACTGTGAAATTTTGTATTTCACTTGTATTAGCACCATCCTATCTATCTGAGCTTTTCACTCTGTATGTTCCATCTCGTCAATTACGGTCATCCACTGGTGCAGCAAAATTCAGAGCCCCTAGAATGAAATTACGATCTTTTGGTGAGAAAAGTTTCTCATTTTTTTACCCAAAAATCTGGAACACCTTGCCTCAGGATGTCAGAGAAACAACAAATTTTGATAGGTTTAAACTATTGCTCAAGACTCATTTGTATTACCTGTATTAACTGTCCTGGGCAACAACGTCATTGCACACCGGACAGGTCCATAAGTACTCAGTTCCCCCCCAGCACGAAAGCCGGCTTTGTTTCATTGTTAGTTATAGTGTGTTAGTAAGTTCTGATTTTTTAATATACTTGTGTGTGTGAAATATA